ATCACAAAGAACTCCCATGATAATCATGATCAGGAAAGTCCTCTGGTTGCAGATCACACAATTCCTTATTTCTGCTCTAACATGCTGGGCCCGAGCGAGGGGATGCAAGATGATCTCATTGAAGAAATTGCTTGGCGACTTGCTCTCCAATCTGTTCTAGAAGAAGAAGAGCGAGCAAGGATGAGGAAGGAAGTTGTGGAGGATGAGGAAGAAAAAAAAGAAGAGGTGGTTCTTGATCTTTTCCCAGGGGTGATACCACATGAAGAAGAAAGGGGGGCTGAAGAAGCAATTGGCGTCCAGGCTGAGGATGAAGTTGAGGTGGAAGAGGCATGCACCGGCCATGAGTTGCAAGTAATATCCCCACCAAACTTTGAGGAACTGCTTGGCAAGGACCCATTTGCAGTGTCTCTTTGCCAGACCAAGGCCACATCAACATCGGTCCCTCTTGGTGGACGCGATGGTGGTCGGTCGATGCTGTCATATCTGGTTTGGGGCAAGGAGACAAGAGAAGAGAAGAAGAGGTCTCGAGGGTGGAGACTTCATCTGCATCAAGTACATGAGCCTTCATCACCTGCCACACCACATGCTCGTGACTTGAGACTCCACCTCATCGACGAGAACCTCAACTTCAAGGAGGTTCTAGCATGGACCGAAACTTAGGAGCCATCGTCCGGCTCACGACGTGAAAGAAGCGCTTTTTGGGAGGCAACCCAACCAGTCGGTTTGCATTTCTTTCTCTATTTCTCCTCGGTTGAGTCAGTTTTGTTATTTGATTTTAGAGTCAATAACTCAACCTTTGTGAGATTTTGTGTGGTGTTTGTGTTCTGATTACTCTCTCTTCCTGGAATGCACTGCCTGACCCGTACATCATCATTCACCCTTGATCTGGTAACTTCGTTCTACCCTCCTTATCTTTCCTCCATTGAGGACAATGTCGTGCTTAAGTGTGGGGGGTGTTCGATTATGTATGCGGGTGAACGTTTGGCTGTTTGTGTGCTTGGAGCCTAGTCCACTGTCCAAATTTTTAAATTTGAGGGCTCCAAGTGTGTGTTTCCTTGCAAATTGCCTGCTCAGTATGCTTTGAATTGACAGTCTCTATAGTAATGTGCAACCTAGGGAGGTAGTGTAGCACTATGGAGGATGTTGAAGTATAAGATTTTTCCTATCTAGCTCTCTGTTGTGCCAGTTGATTTTGTGAATTAGTGGAGCTAAGACCGTTGAATTCATGTGGTAATGGTGACTCTGTTTGGATTATGTTATGGACTCGTGTATCGAACAGGGTGCTCATATGGAAAATGGGAAGCAGTTGGTCCTCCATGTCAAAATCATTAAATCTTTAACATGGGGTAAGCCCAACGTGTGCGGCACCGTTCATTGCACAAAATCGGGTTTTGGAAGAGATTTTAGTGATCCTTAGTGGGGTACTCCTACAAGGTGAAGCTAAGTTGTCTCTAGTACAAGTAAAACTTCCACGCGTTGAACGGTTTGCCTGCTTGAGGATGTGTTTTTAAGGGCACGGATAGAGCTTCCGACCCCCCTTAATTTCATTGACCCTCCACACGAGTTGAGGAAAAGGAGTTAAAAGAAGTACTCTGGCGAGCTCCAGATGTACAGAAATTGCTCTTGCTCAACTAATAAGGGTCGACCGTGCAAAAGACTGCAGTTGGAACCCCACCAAATGAAAGAAAAAATGTAAATGAAAGTGAGAAAAAGGGGTTCCAACAGTGAAATGAAGTGAAAGAGCACCCCGGTACAACGAATCCTTGGTTGTGAATGGTGTGAGTCCCTTTATCCATGAACTGACTGTCTTACTTCTACTTTTTCTCATGATCCTGGCTTGAGTCTAGTACTCGCATTGAGAGAGATAGGGAACGTCTTAGAAGACCAGTTGACCTCGTAAGCTGCTATATGATCTAGGAAATCCTCTACCGAAGATTGGGGTTGTATGTTGTTATAGAGCTCTGGAGAGCTGCATTGGTTTGAGTTAGGTTTGCTTGGGGACAAGCAAACAGTTAAGTGTGGGGGGATTTGATGACTCGGTATTTGCACATGTTTTCCCCTTTGTTTCTTGATTGTTTGAGCTTGATTTATTGTGTCTTTGGCCTATTTTACGCTAGGCTGTGTTCCTTTGTCACATTTCAGGTCCTAGCACATAAAGTGAAGCATAGGCGTGGTTTCAAGTCAATCAGAGATCAATTGACGATTCGGGAGAAGAAACTCGGGTATGACCTGAAGAAGAATGGATTTCTACCTCACTTTATGGACAAAGAATCATGCAAGCTTTTCATGAAAAGAAAGAGGACGAGACTACGAGCGTCTGGGATCAAACGGCGACTGATTCGGAGTCCGGACGAGGGAGAAACGAAGCATTAAACAGAGGTTGAGCAAGCCACACGGGCACAACCCACACGGCTGTGTGACCTGGCCATGTGGCCGTGTGGAAATCACCGAGCCTTCACACGGGCAGCTGGGAAAGCCACACGGCCGTGTGGCGTGGCCGTGTGAGTCGGGAATTGCTATTTAAAACCCGATTTTCAGCAAAAGGAGAGGGAGAGAGCTGGGTTTTGGATCCCAAACACCCAAGGGACGAACCCTAGAGAGAGAGAGCGACTTGGGAACATTCTTGGAGCTATTTTGGAGGATTTCTTCACCATTGAAGCTCGGGAATCAAGCTTGGAGATGGAGATTGAAGATCTAGGTCAGATTTCTGCAGTCTCTCTCTTCTCTATGGAGTAACTTCCCTTCACTTAGGTTTTGAGGAACCCTAGTTCCATGAGTTAGGATCTTTCTTGTATGAAGTTTTGGATGCTATATTGTTTGATTATAATCGAATGATGCATGTTTATTGAGTCAATTGAAGTCTGATCAACTTTTCCTGATTTCTGCTGCAATCTGAGATAGATAGAATCTGATTAGGTTGTTAGAGCCTCATCATTCGGTAGTAGGAGATTGGCCATACGAGAGTTGGCCAGTTTACTGCTTTGTACTGGAATCCAATTCCAGTAGTGGAGTTCTGTTCTTACTGCTTTTAGCGTGTCAGTCGCCTCCTTCGTCACGGCGTCGTCCTCCTCCTCGTCGGGTCCGAAGGAGGCCTACCTGGCCACCAGCCGCTCAACCTCCTCCTTCCATTGTCGCATCGATTCCATGTACGAGAGCTCCGATAAGCTCATCTCGTAGCAGGCTCTGATACTACTGTTAGAATCCTTGATATTTGGGGATAGATTGAGATAGATAATTTTTTGAGATTTTTCAAGCCGCAACTGCCGTAGGCAGTTTGGTCCCACCTTTCTCCAGAAAAACATTGTTTGCTAACTCGAAAGAGCAATTTTCTATTTCGTTAAACTTTGAACGATTATAACTTTGTGGTTCGCAATCCGAATGATTTTTTTTTAATTTATTCCGCATTACTAAAATCACCAAACTTGCACTCAAATGGAAAGAACTTTAGTTATTTTTATGTTAAAAAGCGAAGTGCTACGGTAATTAAAAATATAGTTGGTAAAGAATTGAAGAAGATTGATATAGACCGTATTTTAGGTTTATGTTTATTCTAGTTTCTTATTCGATGTATGAACAATATATCATAGGTTTTACAAAATTTGATATTATTTATAGATGTATGAGCAATATGATAGATTATATAAAATTTGATATTATTTATAGATGTATTAACAATATGAAGATTTTTTTTCCATATATTCCCATTAAATAATCCTACCCTCTCATCTTGATGCCCGATTCTGGAAAACTTTGTGGAGTCTACCTGTTCCCTCAAAATTAAAATTCTTTTTGTGGCGGGTCATCCGGGGGTTCCTGCCCTTTTTGGATGTGTTAAAAAACTAGTCCCTATCTGATTCCAACTCTTGCCCTGTTTGTTCTGCAGGAACCGAAACTATTGTACACTGCTTGCTTTTGTGGCGATCCGATCCCTTTTTGTGGAGAGCACTCTCGAGTCCACAGCCGACCTGCTCTGCCTTCCACATTCTGTCCGGCAGGGGGTAGTGATCCACTTTGATGGTGTTACGCGACAAGGAGAGGGAGGCAGCATTGGATTCGTGGGGTTCTCCGATGAGGGGTGGATTATCTACGCCTGCGGCAAATACTATGAAGGTATATTCGATCCATTTTTAATGGAACTCCTAGCACTTCGTGATGCAATGGATTGGTGTTTAATCCGAGGCATTGTCTCTGTTTGTTTTTGTGGTGATCCGACGAGCAACGGAGAATGTCATAGAGCATGATCGTGGTGGAGCAATCCTGCAGGAGGTTCAGATGTTGAAGTCTTCGTTCTCGTTTATTCGTTTTGTTTTATCCCCTCGTAGGACTAACAAGGCTGCCCATTGCGTGGCTAAAACAGCTCTTGCATCGGCTAATCAGTACTTGGCTGATTTCCGTTATTTATTTTTCAATTCTCTGTAATTCCCTATCTATTAACTCCTACCTAAGTCAACAAAAAAAAAAACTAAAATGATTGAACCATTAACTCTCAACCCACTTACTTACCAAGCCAACAAACTAAACCGAGTGATAACCTTGATTAGTACTGTGTCCACTCCTTTGCACCAGATCTCGTCCGTCCAGAGAGCGTAATTATTTATTTATTTTTCTGTCCTAACCTGCGACCGCCAAAGCAACATTATCAGACTAAACTTTAGTTACACTATTTATAGGAAAATTGTTAGATTTCCTATGCGCATCTAGCTACTCCCTGCTGCCGCCCCGCCGTGCAGAACTATTACTTGTCGTCGACAGTAATCGAATTGCCGGAGGAGTTAATAAAGAAGATAGTTAGGGACCACTTGGAGACCCATTCCCAGCTCATTGCCTTCTCCAGCATCTGCAGATCATGGAGATTCACCTCTCTCCGACTCCACCGCCGCCGCCGCCGCCCCTCCCTTCCGGGCCTGCTCGTCCCCAAATTCGCCGCATCCCAGTCCCCACTCGAGGATTACTACACCGACGGTCAAATCTGCGACTTCTATCCCCTCACCGCAGTCTCCCTACACACCCCTTTTCCGTGGCCGCCGCCGACTCCACCTCCGCCACGGTTTCGTCGACAAACTAGCCGCCGCCGCCTTCGAACCGCCGCCTCCTTCCTCAAACGATGATGACGGCAACGACCAACACCGATCCCCCTTTTCCGACGATAATTTCGAATCCCGTCCCTGCAGCTTGGGATCAAAAGACGGGTGAATCCTCCGCACCCACCCCGGCCCGAGACGCGGCCGGCAGGACTTATACCTCCTAAACCCTATCACCGACGCCTCCGTCCCTCTCTGCCCCCTCCGACGAGGAGCCATCTCCAAAGCCGTCATCTCTTCTTCCCCCGACGACGTCGACAACGAAGAATGCCACGTGTTCATCGTGTCTCACGACGAGCCTTCTTTAGCATGGTGCAACATCTCACTCGGGCCAAGTCACATGGCTAAGTCAATCTCAACCATTGAGCTTCATTAAAATCTAAGGGTTATAATTGATCTCATTTAATGAAGGGTAATCTAGTAATTGTAAATTTATTTAATTATTAATTATTAAAAAAATTAAAACTGTTTGCGGGATTTTTCGCTGCTTGAATTCCCGTCTTACTACCAACCGCCGGCGGCTGCTGGTTTTCGTCGGTTTTCATTCCGGCGATATAGATTCTGGCGTCCTGGATGGGGTGGGATTATCATCCCCATTCCCTTTCCCTTTTGTTTTTGTTTTGCGCGGACACACACCGGCCACAGCCATTCCCTTTTGTTTTTGTGCACAGAGAGAGAGATTGATTTTGTACTGTTAGTATGCTTTGTATTGTTTGTCGGTTTATTTTGTAATGTTTGTACGCTTTGTTATTTTGTAATGTTTGTCGGGTTTTTTTTGTAATGTTTGTACGCTTTGTTATTTTGTAATGTTTGTCGGTTTTTTTTTTTGTAATGTTTGTAAACTTTGTCATTTTTGTGTATCGTGTTTATCATTTTTGTCAACCATGTTTGTAATGTTTTTTATGTCTAAAAAACACCCAGGTTGACTTTGGGAAGGAACCCCTCTATAAAGGGATGGAGCCTCCAAAGTCAACTCGGGTGTTTTTTCAGTTCGTATGGATTGTCGGTATAGTTTGTCATTTTTGTCCACCATGTTCGTACTGTTTGTATGTCTAAAAAACACCCGAGTTGACTTTGGGAAGGAGCCCCTCTATATAGGGATGGAGCCTCCAAAGTCAACCCGGTTGTTTTTTCTTTTTGTATGGTTTGTATTGTTTGTCGGTCTAGTTTGTATTGGTTGTACAGTTCATACGTTTGTAAATCTGTTTGTATGTTTTGTCGCTCTAGTTTGTACTGTTCGTATGTTTGTATGGTTTGTACGGTTTGTACTGATTCTAAGTCCAGTTTGTATACTTCGTAATTTTCCATAATACCCAAACTACCCCTGTCATTAATTAAATAGCCCTTCCCACTTTTTAACCATCAGATTGATGTGTCCAGATCTAAGGGCTGGGAGGGGCTTAGTCAAGTGACTAAGCACGCCCCCTAGTCACCGGATCCGCTCTCGGGGGGGGGGGGGGGGGGGGGGGGGGGGGGGGGGGGGGGGTGGTGATCACTCACACACAACGCTTTGCCCTCGATGGGCAGATGAGTTAGGATGGCGACGTCCTTGAGTGTGATGGTGCACTCTCCTTCGCGAAAGTTGAAACAATGTGTCTCCTTCCTCCATCTCTCCACCAATGCGGTGATGAGTTGGCGATCGACTTTTATGCCTACAAAATGTCTAATCGACTCCCCGTGCCCTTTTGAGATAGGGCAAGATAACTGGGTTCCACGGAAGCACATTGGTCGTACTCCTATAGCGGAGTATTTGTTGTGCCTCCTAGCAAAAATTTCAACGTTATTTATGATATATTAGTATTTAGTCTTATAACTAAATTAATTAAAATTAATGATTTGATTTCGACCATTATTAAAATTATTTATGATATACTAGTAATAGTTTAGTCTTATAACTAAATTAATTAAAATTAATGATTTAATTTCGATCATAATTCTATTATAATAATATTATTAACAATCAAATTTAAGTAATTTGCGATTTTTTCCAAGATATATACATATTATCATAAAACAAACATATTAGATTAGTTGACATAAATAACATTCTAAATGAATAATAATTTAAAGAGATACATACATATTCAAACATTTGAAATTAATAAAATTCATTTAAGTACACATAAACATAAATCATATTGGTTGTTTGGTAAGTAATTTAATCGTATTGATATTTTTAAATAATTTAATGGATTACAATGCAACACTCGTTAGACTCTTAGAAGAGGTATACATCTTCTTAGAAATGCAGCCTTTTTGACAGAAAAAAGGGGGATCTGAGGATCTCTTAATACCCGATTTTTCCAGGAAATGGGAGGATCATGATAATCGCTTAATACCCATTTCCTTATACGTGCATCTCTTTATAAAGAGTCGAAGTAAGTGGTGCTATGTATTCGATTAAATTATTGAAAACAACCAATAAGATTAAATTATTTCAAATTTATTTTATATTCCACTAAGTACATTAGCAAAATAAAAGAAAGATAAATGATGAAGAATTGTATGTACCGGGTGATCGTTCCAAACATCCCTTGAATGATGGTTGGGTTGGTCATACAAGTCGGTCGGATCAATAGGCCCTTGATCCAAATGGTACCATTGGTTGTATATATTCACGTCGTCCCCAACCTACGAGAGAATAACAACAAGGTTAGTACATAGATTAATTAAAAAGCTTATAACAAAAACAAAAATTGACCAAAATAATGAGTATGTTCCGCTTGAAATTCATCATAATAAACTCCCTCTCCTTGGTACCACTCGTCCATTTTGTGGCGAAAGTCGGACAGAAATTCGGCCGGGTTTTGAGGGCAAAACCAAAAAAATGTTTTCTGATGGCAGATCAGACTTAGCCGCAACCAACAGACCACTATTTCCTAGGCTTTTGGGAGGGGAGGGGTTAGAGAGATAATTCTAGAGAGAGAGAGAGTGGAGAATGGTTGTGTTGTGGTGTGGTGTGAAGAAATGAGAGGGCCTTCAGACCGCACCCTCCAGGGGCGGTCTGGTCATTTCAGCTCCGGTCAAACCGCTCCCTCCCGATACGGTTTACACATCCCGAGGACTGACCGCTCCCTCCCGCTGCGGTCTTCGATACGTGGCAAGGATCAGTGAGGTGGCAAGCGATCCGCCGCTGGATCGCTGCCTCATCCTGCGGTCTCCAAGGTCGCTGCCCACCAAACACAGACCGCACCTTGGAGGTGCGGTTCCCAGTCTGACGTGGCGCAAAATGCACCTCCAAGGTGCGATTTATACATAAAACGCTCTTGGAGAGTGCGATTTTGTTATAAAACGCATCTTGGATGTGCGGTGTGATAAAAATGGTGCTATTTTTGTAATTTCTACGAAATGGGTGCTATTTTTGTAATTTTTTTTAAAGGTGCTACTATTGGAAAAATCCTCATTCCCTCTTGCCCCCTCAAATCCCACCACCGATGAGACTCAGCGAACTTCGGCGGGTAGCCGCATCGCAATCTTCCTCCCTGGCAGCTTGACTAGACGGCAGCGGGATGCATTAGCTGGAGAATAGAGCATTGGCAATTGCAGAGACAAATGCCACACCTTCTTCTCCCACATAATTAGGCATGTTTGCTGCAGCACAAACAACTAACAGTGGTACTTCAGATGGACTTTTCCCTTTACCTATCAAATTCCAAAATCACAACATACAAGAGGGACTTGAATTTCAGGGAGGCGGGACTTGAGGGAGAGGGAGACAGATGGTTCCATGTTGGGTAGAGGGGTTTATTTAGGGGTTGTTTTAATTTAAATGAATTGGGACAATTAATAATTAAAACTAAATTAACAAAAAGGGGCAATTAAGTAATTTTCCAGCTCATTTAAGAGTCTTTTAACGAATAATTAGACAGAAGATTACATTTGTTATGTTTTAATAGTATAAGGGTAAGTTTGTGCAAAAATTTAATTGAGGGGTACGTTTGTTAATTTGCAATTATAGAAGGGTAGAAAATGCTATTAACCCATTTGTATATATTGTAATTTGTAATGTTTGTCTGTCAAGTTTGTACACTTTTATGTTATGATTTGTATATTTTGTATTCATTGGTTTGTAATACAAGTTTACCGATTTGTATTGTAAGTAGTGATATTTTGTACGGTTAGTATGCTTTGTACTATTTGTCGGTTTCTTTTGTAATGTTTGTAAGTTTTCTTATTTTGTAATGTTGGTTGGTTTCTTTTGTAATGTTTGTAAGTTTTGTTATTTTTGTCCACCATGTTTCTCATTTTTGTCACTCATGTTTGAAATGTTTTTTATATCTAAAAAACAACTGGTTGACTTTTGGATGGAACTCCTCTACATAGAGACGAAGTCTCCAAAGTCAACCCGAGTGTTTTTTCATATTTTATGGTTTGTATTGTTTGTCGGTCTATTTTGTATTGTTTGTCCACTATGTTTGTAATATTTGTATGTAAAAAAAAATAACCAGGTTGAGTTTGGGACGGTGCCACTCCATATCAGAGAAGATTCGGATATGCCACTCATACTAGGGTGCCTCTTCCTTGCCACCGTCAAGGCCTTAATTGATGTTAATTAGGGAACTCTGATTTTGAGAGATGGAGAGGAGCAACTCACTCTTTCAATTGATCCTAATGCTAAGAATGATGATGTGAAGGAAATGGATGCGAGTGGTATGATTGGAAGTGGAGAAGCCTCTCAAACTCGAAGGAAGAAGAAAAGGATCGTGGAGAGAAAAGATGAATCACGCTTATTTCCGAAAGAAGGATAAGGGCAAAGCGAAGGTAAATGGCCAAGAGGGCCATCCTATGGAGTTTAAGTTGGGAGGTAACAAACCTCGCCCCGAGACCGTAGCGGATCCACTCTCGATGGCTTCGTGCTCTCAAGCATTATAGATCAGCAACGTTGAGCTAGTGGCGTTAAACTAACACTTGTTGGGAGGAAACCCAACATCGGTTTGTTTTCTTTTCCTTATTTTCTCTTTTTGTGATTGAGTAAAGAGTTCAAGAGGATGATTGGTTATCACCGTGTCAGCATGTTGAGTCTGTTTGATAGGTTTTTTAGTGTGTTTGAATTAGGGGCACGGTTGATTAGGCCAAGTTTTGAAATTTTGGAAATGCCTTGTTTTTACTCAGTTCACGGTTTTAGCCCCATTATCACAGTCTTAGAGACCGTTATAATAGGGTGGACACCGTGAAAGAGGGCAGTTCCAGAAAATGTGAAACACACTGTGTTGGCCCGAGATCACGGTCTGGGAGTTATGTTCACGATCTTAGCACCCGTGAACAGAAGTCAATTTAATCTT